ACTCATATCGACTCACAATGCAAACGTACGCAAGCAGTCACATCTAGATGTGTATAAGAGACAGGAACGGGAGAGAGACAGAGAGATAGAGACAGAAAGAATGGGGGAGAGAGGGGAGGGGGGAGAGAGAGAGAGAGAGAGAGAGAGAGAGAGAGAGAGAGAGAGAGAGAGAGAGAGGGAGAGAGAGAGGGAGAGAGGGAGGGGGGGGGGGGGGAGAGAGAGAGAGAGAGAGAGAGAGAGAGAGAGAGAGAGAGAGAGAGAGAGAGAGAGAGAACGGGAGAGAGAGAGAGAGAGAGAGAACGGGAGAGAGACAGAGAAAGAATGGGGGAGAGAGGGGAGGGGAGAGAGAGAAAGAGAGAGAGATGTTCTGATAAAAATGATTTGGATGGGAACAAAAAGAGAGAGGGGGGGAAAGCAAAAAAGGAATGGAGAACGTACCACGTGGGAGGGGTCTTAACCTGACGCCGTACTAGTCCGCCCCATTTGGTCTCGTAGGTAATCTTCTCTTGACAGAACTCCTTGAGGATCTCTGGAACGTTGGACAAGTACCCCGTGAAGGCAATCACTTTGTCTCGAACGGCGTAGATGATTGGCCTGATGAGTACAAGTCCCGGCGCATGCGGCATCTCTCCCAACCTTCGGTCCACCATCACCCCTCCTCCTGGCATGACCAACGCCGCCTCCCCCGACATATGCTCATTATTGAGCTGAGTTAGGGTTTCGTCGTTGAGTTTGGTGACGTCAACGATTTCCCTCCTCCTCCCTCCTCCGCTCTCTTTCTCGTCCGCGTCTCGTCTGCTCAAATCCGCCGCCGATTTCGTTCGCAAGCCCAGTCGCATGTGCTCTGCTCCCCCCCCCCCCTTGTTGCTCGCCGACTGAGAGGATGACACGTCATCGTTATCATCCTCTACTGAGGTAAGCTCCTCTCCGTCGCCGCCGCCTGTCTCTTCGGAGCTGGCCTCCGCCGCCTTGCCCCCGCCCCCTCCCCCGCCCTTCCGCGCCTTCTTTTTGAATCCGCTCGCCTTGTCGGCGGCGAAATTCACTGAGGTAAAAACCCTATCCACTAGCTTATCGCGCGTGACCTTCTCGGTGAAACTCCCGCCAACTGCGCCCAGCCATTTCTGCGCCGGCCATGGACGTCCTTTACCCCGAATATAGCACAGGAATTTGGCTTCTTCGGCCATGATCAGACTGTTACACTGAAGGCATGGCCACGCCGAAATTTTCAAAATGAACCTGGCTGCAAAGACAGTCGGATACAGACAGGAAAGTGTCTGAATTTTGATGAGAATGCGTCATCATCGATCAAATGATCAGTTCCTCCTCTGCCACGGACCTCCTTTGCCCCGAATATAGCACAGGAATTTGGCTTCTTCAGCCATGATCAGACTTACAGCCACGCCGAAATTTTCAAAATGAACCTAGCAGCAAAGACAGTCGGATACAGACAGGAAAGTGACTGAATTTTGATGAGAATGCGTCCTCAACGATCAAAGGATCAGTTGCCGCGAATATAGCACAGGGATTTGGCTTCTTCGGCCATGATCAGACTGTTACACTGAAGGCAAGGCCATGCAGAAGTTTTCAAACTGAACCTAGCCGCAAAGACAGTCGGATACAGACAGGAAAGTGTCTGATTTTTTTTATTTTTTTATTTTTTTGTCTAAATTTTTTTTGTGTCTAAATTTTGATGAGAACGCGTCCTCAAATGATCAGCTCCTCCTCTGCCATGTTCATGCTTCTGTTACACTCAAGGCATACTCGAACACCGAGTTTCTTCGACTGAATCTTAGCCGGAAAGGCGGTCCGATACAGCCAGGAAAGTCGTCGTGTGATTAGTTTTTCCACAGAATCTAGACGGGAAGACAGTCAGATACAGCAAGGAATGTCCTCATGCGATCAATATGCCGTAACTAATTGCTGCCTCAACCTCAACTGTCAATGCACACTGTTACACTGAAGGCATACTCACACTGAGTTTTCTGAATGAATCTCGCCGCAAAGGCGGTCAGATACGGCTTAAAGAGTCTTAGGTAGTGCGAGTTTTCTGAATGAATGTAGCCGTAAGGGCAATCGGACACAGCGCAGTGAGTCGTTTGTAGTGCGATCAGCATGCCCTATATAATCGCCACCTCCTTTGCCCTGTTCACACTCACACTGTGGCTTTTTTGAATGAATCTAGCGGCAATGGCAGTCAGATACAGCCTCTAATGTGATAACTACTATACCCTAACTAATCGCTGCGGCTCTGGATGAGAGTCGTTATCCCAAGGCGTCGCCGATCATAACTGCCATCTTGCACCCAAATAGAACGCCTGGTCATTATTGCTGTATTTGGGGCCCTCTTCAGTCTAGATACAGATGTGATGACGGTGGGCGTTCGATTCGGGTGAAGACGGCCGTTTGCTCAATCTCCAGCGTCGTCTGTGAACTAATGCCAAAACCGCGGTTAACGATCTATACGTACGCTGGCACTAAACTGCCTGCACGTGGTCGTCATTCAGATCGGATTCAGTTAGTCAACCAGTCCGTAAGAATAATCAACCCGTCCTCCTTTTTTTTTTTTTTTTTTTTTTTCTTTTTTTGCAAAAACATCCTGTAGTAACCTGCGGTCCAGTGGTGGTACGAGAACCGACTGGATCGAAGCACCTTAGTGGATGACTCCTGTCCATCGCTGGGGAGCTTCACCTGCTAGATACCGGGCCCAGCGTCCCTTGTCAAAACAACAGAGACTTAAAACCCAGAGAATGGGGGCCTCACCCAACTTGGCTGCAGCCTGAGACTGCTATAGGAAAAAGAAAAAATACCTCTGGGCCTTGAGAGGCCACCTAACAAAAGGAAAATTAAATAAGTTAACAACTAATTAACTACACTTCGTTCTAGGGCCTATCCTTCGTTGAGATACAACTACTATCATGATTAATTGAGATCTAAATTTGTTGCGAGTAGCAGAGAGAGACCAATGATAGACATAAAAAAGGCCTGAAAGGCCGTCCTGTCCAGATTTGACAGGTGATTGAATTGGTTGGGCTTAAAARAATTAGCCTTCAAAAAAAAAAAAAAAAAAAAAAATGATAGAGATCTAAATTTGTTGCGAATAGCAGAGAGAGCGTATGTCCCTCCGTGCCAGCCGCAGAATCTAGAAGCCCAAGGCTCTGAATTTATTTGCTATTTTTGCTTGACCTTCTGCCTCGCCGCTCCCTACTACCGTCTTCCCCCGAGCATAACACGTGTTGTAAACGAATACAACACATACCTGCGTTGTATTCGTTTACAACGCATACGCGTTATGTTCGAGTGAGCGAGACAAACTTTACCTGCACAAGGGGGTCGGGTCCAGGGTGAGTAGGCTCAGTTCTGGACCACGGCTGGGGGCCTCAGAGCCTTGGCAAAAAGGTAAAAGCAAAGTAGCGACGTACCTTTCCATGTTCTGGGTTGAGTCTCATTCCTTTCCCCTACTTGGGCCCTTGCTGCACTCCTCAGCAAGTGTGCAAAATGAGAATGAATCTTCCTCTAGAATGTGGACAAATACAACCCCTTTCGTTTTTGTCTAGGTGACCACGGCAGTGCAAAGAGGCCTTGGTTATTTTTCCACTTTCTTGGCCACACATTCTTGACTGTCAGAAGCGCCTTCGTGCACAGAGAGAGAGACACAGAGAGAGAGAGAGAGAGAGAGAGAGAGAGAGAGAGAGAGAGAGAGAGAGAGAGAGAGAGAGAGAGAGAGAGAGAGAGAGAGAGAGAGAGAGAGAGATGCTATGCCCAAGGCCAAAACACAACACATCTATGATTACGGGCCTGCACGGGCCTGTCCCGTTCACCACGGCAAGAACACCAGGGCAAGAACGGAGCAGACATTGACCTTCGGGGAAGGGGGGAGGTTATATTCGAATACAACAATTTTCTCTTCGTGGAATTCAAATATAACGCGTATGTGTATTATTCGAATAGATAGCATGTGTTATATTCGAAGTGCCCTTGTATTCGAAGAAAAGAATAACTTTCCAAAAACCGTTTTTTTTTTTTTAACTCGAATACAACGCATATGCATTATGTTCGGTGGAAGATGGTAGCATGATGATTTTTTTTGTCCATACATTTTTTGGGCTATAGGCAAAAGACCATAAAGGAGTCTAGCTAGTCTCAGAAGCCTCTTGTGACCACACACTCCCACCATAAGTGACTGGAGTCCTCTAATGCTTCATGAGGACAGACATCACACACAGGGGAGATAGTCATTCCTTTCGTCACACACCATTCCGCTGTCGGCACACTTGAATGTAAGTGTAGCCACTGCAGTCCCGCAACTTTAACTTCCGTGATACTTAAGATCAGTGAGAGGAATAGACTTACCCAAGTATTGTTGAAGGAGGGTCATTCTGAAACCACGTGTTTCCTCCTCCAGCTGTTCCAAGTACTCACCTGCAATGCAGACGCCCTTGAGCGTAATGCATAACCGAATTTGACAAAGTAGTCTGAGATCAGCACTCTGGTGGAGGCTGCTGATTCTGATGAGAGTATCCACCCTACTCTTTGTGCCTCTATTTTTCAGTGTTTGCAGGGAGTACCACCCAATATTAGTGAGAAGCGCTTCCTCTTGTGGTCATGTCTTGATGTCTTCACCTTATGTGGCACACCATCCGCAGGTGGGGGAACTCTATCTTATTGTCTAATGAGAGACCTCTTGCCCGGAGTCCCCCCGTCAGCGAGTTGTGAGCAGCTTGTTCATCCATTCTTGGCGGGCTTTCTCTGTGGTTCTCTATTTTTCGAAGGTCAGCAATTTTTCCCTTAAGTTCTTCACGGAATTTCCATTGGCTACTGTCTTCATCCACCACGTGTCAAAGCCGCCACACCCCTCTTTGCATTCATTTCGGGGCAAAATTGCCAGGTCTGTTTGCAACGGACTCCCCCCGTCAGCGAGTTGTGAGCAGCGAGCGATATCATGATGACAATAGCGGGTGGACTGCTATTTGCCCCCCCATCTGTCAGCCGTAGTTGTTATTGCCTGCACACGTGACCATCTGCAGTGCCACGTGGCAGGTTGTTGAGGACTTTAAAACCATCTAGGCTGATCAAGATATTAGCATACCTAAATTTTTATTATTATTTTTATTGTCGTTGCGGCTACAGTTGAAGATCCCCCTGGTTAGGGGGGTTGTGCTACTGTGGAATCAGGGTGGTTGATCAAGATCTCGCCCAACCCTATATTATTATCAGCATTATTTTTCATTACTACGGCAGCAAGTTGTTAACACGTTAAAAATCAGGATCTTATGGTTCTTGGTGGTATTATCTGCTCTTGGCCAAGCAAGAGCTTAGTATCACCTCTCTTTCACTGACCCACTATTTCACCCCTCTCTTTTTCACCCCTCCATTATCTATTTTTTTTTTTATAACCTACGTCATGTAAACCTTCTCTTATTTTTTCTTCCCTCTTCTCCTCCACCTTCTCACTGCTCTCTCATATCCCACACTTCACTTATCTTTCACTATCTTTTTTCTTTTGTTTTCCTCACTCACCCTCTTCTATTGATCTCCATCTTTTCTACTTTTTTCTCCTTTGCTCTCTCACCCTCTTCTCCTCTTTTCTTCCTCTTATAAAAACTCCATCACCCACCTATCATCTCAAATCTCTCAAATTTTCACCTCTTTTTTTTTTTTTCACCTCTTTCTCACCTTTCCCTCCCCAATTTCATTTTGTTTTTTTTCTGATTGTTTTTCCTTGATGTTTTTTTTTCTCTTTCCGAAAATTTATTTTTTTTTGTTACCTTTTTTTTTTTTCATTTCTCTGGTTTATTTTTTATTTTAAAAATTTTATTTTTTTTACGACAACCTTATATTCCATTAGGACTAAGCCATTTTGTTGTCGACGGACATTTTGACCCCTTAGGGGTAACAAAGTCTTGTCGAAATTTTTTGTTTTCCTACTCCATCTTTTCTTCTGACACACTTTCACCTTTTAAGGGTAACAAAGTGCTGGTGAATTTTTTTCCTTTTACTTAATCATTTTCTTTATTGCATATTTTGATTCATGAGGGTAATGAAATACTGTTAAAAGTTTTGAAAATTTTGAAATTAAGCTTTCTCTAAGGTTGTAGGCGTTCGGGACAGGCCGAACGCCCGAACGTTCGACACCCCCTCTTGACGCGTTCGGTCGTTCGGTCGAACGCAGATCACCCCCACCCCCCCAAAAAAAACAAAATCTAAATAATCTGAAAAAAATATATATATCTTATTCAGAAAAATAAACTAAACAACATTTGCCTCAACATTACATCCAAATTCTTTACCAAATTTGAAATAAAAATCAAATACTAAAAATAAATAATAATAATAAAAATTAGAAAAACTAAAACGTTATGAATGGGCGAGCACGTTTTTGACATCACCATCTTTGGCGATTTTTTAGTTTTTTTTTATGTGACAAATGTCATGAAATTTTATATATGTGTATATTACATAATAGAGAATATACAAATAAAATTTGAAAACATAATAATTTTTTTCATGCCCTTAAATAAAGGAAAAACAAAAAGTGGAAAAAGAGACAAAACAAATTAGTAAGTGGGCAAGCAAGTTTTGAAACCACCATCTTATCCGATTTCTCATGTTTTTTGTGGCTGAATAGAATGGCTTTAAAATTAAGAGAGAGATACCTTACATCACAAAGAACGCAAAAAAAAAAAATTCAAAAAAAAATAATAACACTTAGGTGGCAAAATATTTTTTTGTGGGGTCCGAAACCCTTCAAGTTTCGACCCCATATGGGGATTCGAATGCTCGAACGCTCGGGGGTGAACTTAGGGGCCTCCGTACGTTTGGTCTGGCAACTGTGGCTTTGTCCTTCTTTTTTTCCACCCACTCATTTATTTATTTATTTTTATGAAAATTTTAATTTGTGGTATTTTGAAAGTTAGTGTGTTTTTGGCAGACGCCAGACCCGCTTCTTAACTTTAAAAAAAAAAAAAAAAAAGTTAGTGTGCTTTTCTTTGACTTTTCTCTTTTGGTGGCACATCTTGACCTCATGACAGTTGAAAAATGTTGTCGAAAATTCGAAAACAATAAATACTATTTTTCCCTTCATCTTTTGTTTATTTATTCATTTTATTAATTTGTATTATTATTATTATTTTAATCTAAAAATTTCACTATTTGTCTAGGCTACCAGTCGGGCTGCTCGAGTTATCTTATTTTCCCAAACGGTCCGGTCGTGCAAAGACCAAGGAATGT